AGCAACTGCTAGAAGTTTTGCAACATCTACCCCAAATCCACGAAACATTCCGGTTGTAACTACCTTTGACCTACACAATTTATAAAATTATGTTGCAAATTGTCCAGGAAAGGTAGTTCAAGCTGGATTGTTTCATGTATTTGGGGCAGATGTTGCAAAACTTCCAATAGTTGCTACTAATGAAACCAACCAAGGAAAGGTATATATATTCATCATATTGTTATTCCATTTGATTTACACATTTTTAACATCAATGGTTTTTATATATAAAAAAATTGTACGAATACATTGATTAAATTCAGGGCTACTTCCAACTTTCTTCAACTGCTTTGAGAAACTACTTGCGTATCTGAAGGTTAAGAAGATGGTGGTTCCAACTGTTGAGGATGTTGAATCCATGTGGATTCAGAAATTTGGTTTTGAAAAATTAACCCAGCTAAAGTATTATTATTATTATTATTATTATTATTATTATTATTATTATTATTATTATTATTATTATTAACGGATCTTCCTGTCCCGTTCTGTTAAAAATAATAATATTAAATTAAATTCAAAATTAGCCGACGAAGTCTAAACGAAAGTTGTATAGCGTAATTTTAGCTACGCGTTCATATAAAGAACGTCAAAAACAGAGCTCGTATGCAAAAGTTATGGATTTTAGAAGTTCGGGGCTCAACATTCGAGAAATCTCGCATGAACAGTAGTCGGCCACGTCACCTCGCACGAAGCTGCTGCGTCACCGAAGATGTGGCCGAATCCGGATCCGACGCGTGTCGCAATTCCCTCGGACTGAAGTCTCGGCCAATCAGAAGCCACCTCATAGCCGTCGCGTGTCCGAATCTCGCAGGGGCCACGTCCGAGCCTCGTAGCCCGCCTCCGTGTCTCGCCCTTGTTGTTGCCACACGCCTCGCCCCTTCGCTGCCACATCCTCCCTTCATGACCGAGCCTCGCAAGCACTATGTGGCGCTTTCTCAGCCACGAAGCCCTCGGTCTTGCACCCTATATAAAGGGGGGGGGGACTGCGAGCCTTCCCGGGTACTTTTGGAAATTTGACATTTTTCACCCCTAAACTTATATTTTGACTATTTTGACTTCCCCCGAAGCCCCGATATCATTTTTAAAGCCCGGAATACGTCCCAAAGTGATCGAAAATCCAGAAAATTTTATCTTTTCGGTTTTGAAGCTCCAACTCTCGCAGAGCCCGGTTTCTCAATAAAACTCCCGGTTTTATCAGAAACGATCATTTTAAGAAACAAATTGTTGTCCGATTATCATCAAATCAAGTGAGTGTATAGTCACTTTCATCTTACACATAGATATGAAGTATTTTCTATAAAATACGTGTTATGTGTAATTATATTGATTGTTTATTTGAGATGATTGTTGAATGCAATGTTTTATACAAGTTATAAATTGTATATGTATTTTATCTACAAATATGTTGGGTAAAACATGGGTAGACGAAATAGTTGATGTGTGTTAAAATGATGAGAGGTCTCGATGTTGTTGTTCCAGTCATCTAGCGGAGTATGGATGACGACCACATAATTTTCTAAATAGTCTAGTGGAATGCTAGCAGGCTCGCAACCTGTAGGTGTTTGTAGGCTTGATGTTCACCGGTGTACTCCATCCCCCTCATGGTTGCCTTACAAACATATATGGTTGAGGAATCCCCTTAGCAGTAAAGTTCATCCCGATGATAAAATCCTTAGACTTGGTCCCTTGTATAGGTATTTAGGGACGTAAAGTGAGGATAAAGGGAATGGGTAATCAGGGTTATTGTTGGTTTGATGAAATTAATAAATTTATTATTAATTGTGGGTTGAAAACCCTATATGCTGACCAGGCTCCCAAGTCTGACCCACTCAGCTTTCTGTTTTAAAGGTAGTCGACCCAGAGCATAATTTGGATGATGATGAGGGACTTTTGGATTATAGGTCATTAGTTGTAAATAACTGTTGTAAGGCTTATAATGTACTGTTTATACTTATGTACTGTATCGAACATGACATCCCAAGTCTTTTAATGAAATACATTTCTAAGGAAATGCTTTTGATAAATCTTTCTCATATTACTGTTTTGGGACAAATTCCACAATTCTTTTATTAAAAGGTTACTCTGATTTTGAAATAAAGTATAAACAAAATTGGTCTTTTTTGGCCATGAAATTGGGGATGTCACATATACTATGGAACCGGTCTTTAAATTTAACGAGAGATCTTTCTCCTTGGATCTTATCCTTTGAGAATCATAAAGATTGTTTTCAAGTAGGAATTTGTTCATTTGGAATCTAAGTTCTTCTACTTCATTTTTATTTACTATATTGATTTTTATTTAATATTAACACTTTTGCCTCTTGTTTTTTTAGATTAATCCTTAAGTCTCATTGACCTATACCCCCCCCCCCCAAGCCAAGTGCATCAAGCATGAAGGAGTTAGATGCTTCTTTTACTCCTTTTCCGGACACAATTGGATCATATGGGACTTGAATTAATAGTTATCTTTTCAGAAGCTATTCAATTCATTCTTCCCGAACGCAACACAAAACTCTTCATCTAATGCACTCTGCAAGTGTGATTGTCTCCCTTTCTTAACTTGGTATTGTAACATCCCGGAATCACAAGAGTAGAGTTGAAGGGATAAAAGTGTAAGTTTCAAAGGGTGACTCGGCGAGTCCATGGATAGACTCGGCGAGTCAGGTCGCGACTATGGTCGCGTATCAAGTGGCCTACTCGGCGAGTCCAAAGATGGACTCGGTGAGTAGGTGATGTATGGAGAAAACCCTAATTTTTGGGGTTGAGCCCTATATAAAGAGCATTATGCCCCTCCACAACCTCCCTTATTCCCCCCTTGAGTTCCAAAAACCCTAAATTCGTGGAGAGTCCCATTGTTGAGCAAATTAGAGCTTGGAGAGGTGTTGGTTGAAGAAATCTTGAAGGAGAAGTGGCTTGGATCAAAGGGCTTTGCTTGGATTCGAGTTTGGTTGCTATTGAGGCATCTTTTGGAGGTAATACTTTCGTTCTTGGGCTGTGCTTTCCTAGTTTCTCATTTTGGGGTTGTGTGGGGTGCTTGGTTGTGTGGCATCTTGATGTTTGGAGGATGGATCTGAGGTTGCTACCTCAGATCTGGAGTGGAGAAGATCTTAAGAGCATTAAAGCCCCTGTTCTTGTGTTGTTAATGGAGCTACCATGTCCCAAATCTTGGTTCTGAGGTGAATAAGGCCTAGATCTCTTTAGATTCACGTAAAGGTTGCCACTTTACGTGATGGATGGATTGTAGGAGGTTGGATCTATGTTTTGGATCAATTGCATGGCCTGAGATGCTTCTGTATGGATTCAAACCGGTGGTACTCGACGAGTCACATGGGTGGACTCGACGAGTTGCTTGAAGATGGCCTGGAACTCGACGAGTTGGAAGAACAACTCGGCGAGTAGGTTGAAGATAGCCTTGGACTCGACGAGTCCATTTGGACTCGGCCAGTCTTGTCGAGGAAGTCCCAATATTTCCTGGTTGAGTCAAGAATCGGTGAGTCAAGGGATGACTCAGTGAGTTGGGTGCGAGTGGACTCAGAGTTGTTGGACTCGACGAGTCTTGGGGTGACTCGGCGAGTTGGGTCGCTAATTGAGGGAAGTTCTGAGCATAAGGACTCGGCGAGTCATCGGGTTGACTCGGCGAGTAGGGTCAGTCAAGGATTGACTTTGACATGTCCAAGGTTGACCAGTTGTCTTCCAGGGGTATTTTGGTAATTAAGGGTATTTATTGAGTTGTATGTTTTGATGTTCAGTAGAGGAGTTTGTGTCAGAGTTCGGAGCAGCGGGATCTTATCCTTTCAGCCGACAGTTTCGAGGTGAGTTATCCTCACTATATCAACAGGGTCTAAGGCACCAAGGTCGGCCCTTTATTGGATTGAGATTCGGATATGGTTATTATGTTATTGTTTGATGTGTCTGCATCCTGGTAGCTAGGATGGTACATGCTAGGGGACCTTGTTAAGGTCAGTTTCCTGATATATATAAGTGATGCTATGCTAGTGACCGGTTAGGTCGGTAACCTGGGTAGGGTAATGATATGCTATGTGATGTGTTTGTTCGGTTTGTTGGCTATGACTGTTATATGATTGTATGTTTTGTGCACATGGTTGTTTGGACTAGAGATGGGTTGAGGCGGTCCTGCTTTGTGCTGTAGGCCAAGATACCCAGGGCGGACCGGTTATTCCGAAGGCCCAGCGAGCGGTCCGGATAGGCTGTAGGCCCCACGAGGGTGGACCAAACGTGCCGAGGCTTGGAGAGTGGACCAGGCCGACTGAAGGCCCGATGCGGGCGTACCAGTCACACTGTAGACTCAGAGAGTGGACCAGGTGGGTTGAAGGCCCGATGCGGGCGGACCAACCCCACTGTAGATTCGAAGGACATGACTAGACCTGGAGGATGGATCCGGTGGACTGAAGGCCCGATACGGCGGACCAGTCACCCAGTAGACCCAATATGCATGGTTGTTCTATGTTCTGTTATGTTATGTATGTTTTATATGTTTTGGACCGGAAGGTCGTAGCCTGGAAGGGCGTATACGTGGTTGGTATTTTGGGGGTATCTCACTAAGCTTTCGGGCTTACAGTTCTGGTTTAATGTTTTTCAAGTTCTTTAGGAGACCGTGGCAAGGCGAAGGCGCGATCGTACCGCTCCTCATGATTTTGTAGCAATGTGATTCTGGGAATACTCTAATGATTTGTATTGAAAACCTTTTTGTAAACATTTTGATGAAAATCGGGTTGTTTTGAAAATTTTAAATTGGTTGTATTTTTTGGATGTTACAGGTATGGTAGGTCTTTATGAAATAACTTTGATAAAAGGAAAAAAAAAACGTTAATAAACCCTCTTTGCATAACCCTAGACTTTTTTAGATCACTTTTCAAAGTTGTTTTGATATTTTGGAATTTATATAGAAAAAAAAACATAATAACCATTATAACACAAGAAATAAATAAACAGGGGTTGTACGAAATTTTTAAAAGTTGCTTTACTAGGGAAAAAACTTATTTTCTATTGTAGTTTCCACTACAAAATGCATCACTAAACAAATGTAAATTGAATTTACACTTATCAGACTTTGTGACTGATTTCCAATATATTTGTGAAGGATCTACATACATTTATACTTCTATTGGACGAAATCGAGGGGTTACATGTGTCATCCAGAGACAAATGATTTGCCCGCCCCTTCCCTAAGAACTCCAACATAATTTGTAAAAGATTTAAAAAAAAGGTTAGTTGGCATTTGGAAATGGTAGAACATAAAAACCTAAACACAAGTTTTAGTCAAACAAGACAAATAATGGAGCATCACATTCACTAGATTATTAGATAAAAAACGAGCTTAGAAAAATTAAGAGTGCAAATTTCGAATATCAGTTCAAAAGTTTAACAAATTGAAGTAGAAAAAACAGATGCTTGAAGAAAGTTCATGTTTTAGAAGAAGATCTAAGACTTTTGTCAACAAAGTCAGGGAGTAAAATGGTAAATAAGTAAACAAAAAATTGATTTTGATAATTCTTCACCAACCAAGTCTTTTTGTATTTTTACCATGAATCTTTATTGTTGTTATCCTTTATATCATCCGTTTTTCAAGGTGTTCATGAGACTCATTTGCAAGAAGACATTGATAATGCAGAAAAAATACAGATGCATGAAGCATACCTTTATGAGACACTTGATGCAAATATTGAGTATAGTGCTTAAGAGCTTAGTATAACGACAAAACTAGTCAACCTTTGAGTTTTAGTAGTCAAAGGTCAACTGGTTTTCACAGTTATAGTAAGTTGATGAAAGCTATAATGATTACACTTATGTACAACTAGTTTTCATAGTTATAACTTTTAAATAGTCTTTCATCAAATCCTGGAACATCTAAGGTTGAAGGTGACTTGGTAATGAAAAAGAGATTTGAAAAGATAAAATCATCATTCGAGACACAACTAAAGGACCTTTGTGACCATTACCTTGAGATGACCTCATGTATTTATGTTGAAGTTGATGTCGTAAGAGAAGATCTTGTAATGTAGTTAAAAACCAAGAAGAGCATAAAGAGACGATTCCAGTTCTTTGAAAACCAATGGAATATACCGACCATTCATTATATCTAGATTAATAGCTAACGTAAATAATAATTAAGGCACATAATGACATGAATGTGAGTTTATGTCTATTGAGAACACTTTACCACACACACCCTACTCCCGAGTTGTAGCAAAGAAAAGAAGAAAAAAGAAAAGAATGTAAGGAGAGAAAAGAAAAAAAGGGAGGAAAAAAGTTGTCTTTTGTTCTCCCGATATGGACAGAAATGGAAGGAAAGTTAAACTTTTTGTTCTTTCTTTCCAAATCCTTTCAAATCGAAAGGAAAGTTAGGAGGGAAAATGATCCTTCCATTTCCTTACACTTTCTCTCTTTAATGAAACTCAGGGAGCACCAATTTGTCTTACTTTCCTCTCACTTCCACCTATTTCCTTTCTTTTTCTCTTCTTAAGTTGAACTCGAGAGCACGGTGAAAATGAAATAAGATGTTTTATTTCAAGAAACATTTATAGACATTTATTCTCTTTTTGTACTATTTTATGAAGATAATGTATAGATATAATTCATCTTGAAGAAAGAATGGTTAAGATACAAATTTTACTACGTCTAATTTTATGAATTTTTTTATATAAATGTGTATTTTAGTTCTATTGATATTTCATCGGTTGAATATACTAAGGTTTAAACAAAGCTGTCAAACTGAAAATGAACTACAAGCTATGTTGAATTCAACCTATACTGAATCATACTAATTTAATAAAAAATGATGAATTCCCATATTAAATCATACTAATTAATAGTCTACCCTTGGGATTTTACTACTAGACAAATCCCAAAAGCTACAACCAACATTCTTGTGAACCTATTATCATGTTTGTTTTCATGTTACAAGTTATAAGACTATAATGTTATTATTAAGCAAAAACATTGTTAAAGTGTATAATGTCAGCAAGAGTAATAGTAAGAGAGTAACAGAGTGAGAGTGAGAGTGAGAGTGAGAGTGAGAATAATAATAATAATAATAATAATAATAATAATAATAATAATAATAATAATAATAATAAAAGCAATAGTTTCTAGTTTATATTTTATACTCACATGAAAGATGTCAACGGCTTGTGAAAGCAACACTTTGTTCTCATCAGAAACATCTTCCCCACGCAAAACAATCTCTCTAGAACCAAATAAAGTATTCCACAGTCCACACTGCTGAACCAATTGCCAGATGGCAACTCCTGTAACATATCAACAATCAATCATATATAATCAAGTGAAAAGAGTAGGAAATTTTAGTAAATAACTAAATTCAAATTCACACACCTTCAGATCAATCTTCGTATGTTCCCTCAAACAGCCAATATGATATTCCCTCTCACATTGCAAGGTATGGAAAATGGATTAGGGGATTAATCTAACTAACAAAAATGAAAACACAACATAACTGAATAATTTAAAATGACCATTTTAACCTTGGACCAAAACTGAAACAAGATGTATACCACAGGGACCAAAGTTGTGATTTTCTTTTTATTCTTAGTTAAGGTTTATAAAATTTTAAATGTACATATTCTTATTTTGTTAAAAGCTTTATATAGTTTCCAACATTATATCTATACCAAGTGCAAGGTGTTTTAGAAAACAAGAGAAAAATTTAGTCTAAAGCATCATGATTATTTCAAAAAAGATTAACAGCTAGGTTGTTAACTAAGACAAGCCAGAGACCAAAATCATATAAAATATTTATATAAGAACCAAAATGGCAACCTTACACCTTTAGGGACCAAAACCGAAAAAACCAGGTAAAATCAGGGACCAAAAATGTAATTACTCCAATTACAATGACCTGATCACAAACAAGAATAACCTTATCATTGAAGCCGACTGTGTTAAAATCATAGGCTCTGTACACACCAAATTTATTCAAACATGATTACATGATTTTAAATTGTGAAATAAATTTGTTGCAAATTTTATAAAATTAGGGTTACCTGCAAGTACAACTTTACCTTTATGGAATGACGTAGGGCATCTAGAGCACTAAGTCTCCACCTCTCTTACAAACTCCACAAAGTTCATGTTGTCCAAGCCTCCCATAAAATACAATGATTTTTTTTACCTTCAACGTTTTAATTATAGTTAATTGATTTTTAATTATATTCATGTGTTGTCTAACTTAACAACCTAGCTTGTTAAGTTACACAACTTAGGCATTTAATGCATAAAAAACATGTTCTTGTTTTAGAGGGACAAGTTTTAGAAATAAACAATGTTTCAAATTGAAATTACTCTACATTTAATGCACAAAACTTCTACTAAAAATATATAGCAAAAAGGCCAAACAACCCCCCAAATTTATAGCGGATTTTATTGCAAAAGAGGGTACGACATGAGAGACATGCTAATACAATTAACATAAAAAACTTAATAATAAAGATTATTAATGAGAGTGCATCTAGAAACTAATGGAAAGAATCTTTGAAATCAGACCTTCTAATTTCCATTATTATCAAAAGCGAAAAAAGTTAAGATGTAAAAAATGTTCAAATCAATACCCTAATCGTAGCAACCACTCATGTTTGTATGAGTGTGTGTGTCACACATGACTAGTCATCATTTTGACTTTTCTCAAAGAACCGAAATGATACTAAAAGTCATAAGAAATAATAACTCATTGACACAGTTGCAAAGCCAACAATCGTTTCTCACTTTGCATTCACAAGGTCCTCACTTTCATTGTATCATAAAACCCTCAATGGTCAAGTCAAGAGGATTACATTAATATTTAAGGCTAGCTATACGCTTTATTTAAGAAGTGAAAGGTCGAACATCAAAGACTAATAATGAAAGCGCTCATATTAGAAATTTGACAAGAAAGAGTGAGCATTTAAAGTTCTTACACTTGATTCATAAATACTAGAGTCTAGAGTCGGTGTGCTCATATAATAAGCAACAGGCATGTAAGTTATATAGTTCAACTAACATACACCTAACTTATTCATTAACTATTAGTCTGTTACATTAAAGAGCATAACATAGTACTTTCGGTAACTAGTTTCCATAAGAACACCAATATATTTGTCCTACATAGTACATACACTATCAAATTTTGCATAGATTGAGTTTTCCTAAGACCTACATGGTTAGAATGTATTAATGCAAGACCTGAATCGTTTACTTCTGGGATGACAATTGACATGTAATCTCATAGAAAGATTATTCTTTTAAAGCCTACTTTACAAAAACAAAACTGCTGGTTTTGGTTACTATAAAAATCATGAGGGAAATAATGATTACGAGGAACTGAAGAAGCAATCTACCTTGTTCGTTGATGTTGGTTGAAGATTTTTCAACTCAATCTTCATCAAATTTTCAGAACCAAAAGCTTCCTTGTTTGAATCGCCTTTTTCACTTATAGTTTCCACTTTTAAAACAAAGATCTGCTTATTCCTTGGATCTTTCGACATTTGCGAAATCAGCTTTTGGACTTCCATTGTTAAACCTCGTCTACGGTGTTCTCCATACCAGAACAGATCGTAGATCTTTCTTTCTTTTTCTATTTTTTGGTATCGGTGAACCCAAACTATTAACATTCCGATCTAGCGAGATCTTCATGATTGACTATAACGATGATTGAATCATCAATCAAATTCATAAAAAAGAAAGAGATTGATGAAAATTGAGCCATCGATCTGTGAGAACACGGATTGATTCATAAAAAAAAAAAAAGAGTTTGATGAAAATTGAGCATCAATCTGTGAGAACAATCATTGATTCATAAAAAAAGAAACAGCATGACGAAGATTAAGCATCAATCAGTGAAAACAAGCGATTGATTCATAAAAAAAGTAACAGCCTGATGATAATTGAGCATCAATCTGTTAAAAAATTGATTAATAAAAAAAGAGCTTGATGAAGATTGAGCCATCAATCTAGTACAAAAATTGATTCATAAAAAAAGTTAGAGTTTGATGATACCGATTCATAAAAAAAATATTTAAATAAATAAATAAGAGCTTGACGAAGATTGAGTGTCAATCTGTGGAAACAAGGATTGATTCAAAAAAAAAAATAAAAAAAAAAAAGGTAACATTGAGCTTCAATCTGTTCAAAACAAAATCAATCTGTGAGAACAATAGAGCTTTGTGAAGATTGCGCACCAATCTTGAAAACAAGTATGTATTAATAAAAAATATAATAAATAAATAAATAAAAATAAAAAGCGCTTCGAGGAAGATTTAGCAGCGTCAATCTGTGAAGACAAGAAAGACCTAAAAACCTAGGATTTGACGAATGTGGAGTCCTCTCCAACACTCCCAGCTTATATATAACAAAAAATTCCAAGATATTTTAAAATCATTTTCCTTTTTTTTTTTTTTTTTTTTTTTTTTTTTTTTTTTTTAAGTCTTGAATGTTTTCTTTAAAACAAAATGATGGATATATTTTGCTTTGGTTTTATTTTATTATCATTTAAGTTGTAAAGAAAAAAACGATTAACTTGAGAGTAAAAATAATATATATATATATATATATATATATATATATATATATATATATATATATATATATATATATATATATATATATATATATGAGAAAAGTGAATATGTGGCTGTCATGTATGTAATATTAGGTATAGAACTATTAAAATTGACTTCATTTTGATTAAATTTACACAATTTTTGACGTTGTTAGTTTCTTCCTATTGCTTTTGAGATCATATTATTTCTGATTTCATAATTTATCCCCAACATTTATATATTTCGAATGTATTTTTTATATTAGATATCTAGTAGGTTTCATAAATTTTCTTTGACACCAACCATATGTATACTTGCATGGTTCTTTTTGATGTGTGATTGGAAGAAGTTTATTGTGTTTTTAATGAATAATTTCAATCGTTCACTGTAATTTTTATTTTAAATTTGAATATGAAGATTTATAGGTAGTTGATAATGTATACATGGTTTTGTTGCAAAATTAAAAATTTAAAACTCAATAAATGTATGTATAAAGCCTATCATCTAGTCTAATAGAGAATACAAGAAAGATGGTAGGGAGATTTGATCGTATTTTGTTAAAACCATGTAGTTTTTAATGGTTCTATACCTAATATTAGGTACATAACAGACACATATTCCTTAAACCTTATATATATATATATATATATATATATATATATATATATATATATATATATATATATATATATATATATATATATATATATATATATATATATAAACAAGATGGGCATAACGATAACGATAGTGAAATGGTTTTCGATGTAGTCATCTATAAGATATATATATTTAGAAAGATAAACAAACAAAAAATATGTTGTTTGATTCCTTATAAGCAATCAAATCATGCATAATTAGACACGATATATCATCGACATAAAAATAATGAAGCTAATAGGTTAAATAATATGGTACACGACTTCATATCGAGAATATATATTAATATGATTAGAAGTGATAACATGTTCAATGTTCATTCGGCATATCGCATATCTAAGTTTTTATTTTTACAACATTAATATGTTTAGGATTATGCATCCATGACAATGATCACTAAAGTAGTAATAGTTTGACGAGTGATGTTCATATTAAGAAGGTCGATAAATTTCTTATCAAAGATATAAAAGTATCTACTAATAGATTCACATCGAAAGAAAGTGTTATGTGATAAGGATCCAAGATACCGAATAACTTAATAAGACGGCTCATGTATACATTTCAACGGTCAAATGGGCAACATATATATTTTCAATTGGTTTTCAAATAAAAAAAATAATCATATGAAGATCTGTCTACGATTTTAGTTGTAGGTTCATGTGGTAAGTGTAACAAGTGTTATACTCGTGCGTCGTTTTAATGCATTGTTTTAATGAAGTATACACTTATTTGTTAAGAATTCTTTTTATATTTGTAACACCTTGATCCTAGTATTTCCCATTTATGCCCTTAATAGGAATATATATTTGCTAAGTTGGTCTCTTGGTTCAGTAAGTGGAAATCGTGTGTGTTCCTAGTACATTGGGCGTACTCCAACATACGTCGGGTCTAAGTAGCTGAGGTTCAAACCCTAATTTTTAGGGTTTGAGCCCTATTTAAGCATCAATATTTTTCTACGACCTCTTCCCTCATCAGCCTCCGTCTCCCAAATCGTTCCTTGCTAACCTTAACCTATTGTGTGAGCATTTTGAGCTTAAAAGTGTACTTTTGGTGATCTTGAAGGAAGAAGAAATAAGTGGAATCAACTTGGAACCTCAAGGCATCTTGGATTCAGAAGTATCTTGCCCTCAACCTTCATTGGGAGGTTTAAAGCTTGGATCTTGATGCGTCATTTACTTAGATCTTGTTAGTTTAGAGGTTGTATACATTTTGGTCTTATAGTTTTGTCTAATGGAGTATGAGCTACTCCATGTCCTTGAAATGTAGTTTCATATAGTTTTGAGCTTCTAGATTCGTAAAAATGAGAACATAAACACTTTCATTAATCCATGCAAGAGTTTGGGAGTTTTGGGTGACTTTTGGACCAAGGGTTTGAGGTTTTACCCACTTAGATGCATGCAAATGGATAAAGTCAAAGCCTTTATCCATTATGATGTCTCTTGATATTTGGATCTAAAGTTTGGTGCGTTATCTTAACAAAATAAGAGCTTAATGGAAAAGTTGAGGTTTGGCTCAGGTACGTTTAGCATACCTAGAGGTAGAAGAGTTCGAGGAAGTGGTTTCTGAAGGCACCCTCTACACTAGGCATATAGGGGAGTACGCAGCGCGGGGCCTATAGCCTATCCAGTCGTCCCCGATTGTCTTGGCCTACAACACAAAGCAGGATCGCTTCAACCCAAACCAACATGTCGACATATGCAACAAATAAACATGAACACAAAACCAGCAAATACAAGTAAGCATACGAATCTAACGGATCACAATAGCATAAATGATGGGTTTGAGCCAAAAGAACATCCTATGTGCTCATGCAAACCCTAATGCTTGGATCTAGGTTTCTCTAATTGTACATGCATCCATCCAAGACTTTCTAACCCTAGATCGAATGAGAATAATTCGAAACTATAAGAAAAAAATTAGATCTAGATCATTACCTCTTATTGCTTGCTGGAATCTCCTTGTCTTTAAAGCTTAAAGTCACAAGTGCTACTCCTCTAATGGCTTACAAACACCATAGCAAAAGGATGATCTTAGAGAGAGGTTGGAGGCTTCTTGAAATCGACTCTATCACTCTTAGGGTTAGGGTAGCCGATTTTTGTAGCCTAGGGGTCCTATTTATACTGGAGCTATTGGGGTTTCAGTCAAAACCCCTAATGGATAGCTTAGGCCTTAAGTTATCCAAGGAAGCTTCTGGAATAGGGCATTAGGGCCAAAATTTGGGATGACACATCCTAATTTCCTCCATGCCTAGTCCAAGAGGCTCCTCAGCCTAATACTCAACTATCACACATTTGACAGTTTGAGTCCCTAATGTTAAATTAATGTCTTTTAGCCACATAATTAATTTCTTAATTAATTCTTGTCTAATATTAATTTAATTATAGGATGTCTCCATTAATATTATTATACATATAACATATTAATAAATCATAATAACCTCTTTCTTAATAAATCATCCTATCATGTTGCTTAGGTGAAGGCAACCCAAAAGGACCATGCACAAGTAGGCCAAGTACTTACCAAATACAGTTACGGGCTTAGACACTAATCCAATAGTCTCCCACTTGGATAAGTCTAGTAACTACAAATGTAAGCACAATCCGATTAGCAGTCGTAGCTCTCAAAGATGCTATCAAACTCTGATCTTATTAGTAACTTGTCATTTAGATAAGGGATCGTATAGTACTCCATTCTAGATATCGTGCAGACAATTACATGGAACATAGCCATACTTATTGTCTAGCAGTTCATTTCTCGATCTCTGATTCGTTTGACATAGAACTTAATTGAACACATCAATTCAGTCATAACCGGGCCCGACACATAAGTCAAACCAAATCATCGAGGGGCCCTAATATCACTTTTACCCTCTCAGGATAAAAGGAACATATAAACTTCGACTTATATGCATTTACCATCCACTAATCAAATCATACACAACAATGCGTTTTATAATATCCAGTTACTAATGCGTTTACACATTATCAATGCACAACTAATTAGCAAACAATAAACCATATATCTAGGTTTTAAGACCATATGATATTATCGTCTTGCGATCACTCAAGATAAATTCCATAAAGTGATTCCAACAAGCGTGTGTTTATTCCAATGCTTAAATCCAACTCATAAGCACTCATGAACGTTGTAGAAAACTTTTGCTATGTCTAATACATTTTAGACAATCTACACACCAAATCATGGCAATCTTCATTCATACCAACTTCAACATATGAACGACTATGGACGGTTCGAATAATCTTAGTATTCAGGAAGTCAAAACATGCAAAGTGAAACAATAGGTAAACAATTAACATAAGACAGTAACATTACTAATAAATAATACTCTTTTATTTAATCATCAAATATTAATTACAATTTATCTATCACACGTTTCTAAACTATCTAATCCAAATTAATATTGTCCTTCAGCCCGATGCTCCTAGCGTGTTCCTAGTGCTTAACCCTAAACATTACCTTCGTAAGCGAATTTGTTGGGTTATCCTTTGATGATACCCT